TAGCCGTTAGTGTCCGTTATCTACGGTCAGAAATGAACAAGCCGTGCGAATGGGACGTCGGCATGATCTCCGTTATGTACGGTCAGAAAAAAAAAAAAAAAAAAGTCGCGCCAAGCGACCTCGACGAGGGAAACCAGAAGAAGAAGCGTCAGGACAAAACTGGGATCGGGATGCCTCTGAGACACAACTGGGACAGGGATGGACAGCTGAGACGCAACTGGGACGCGGATGCAGCTGCCTGAGACACAACCGCTAGGATCGAGACGCAGTAAGCCAGATCGCTCATCTCCGAACGGAAATCTGACAGCAACTGAGAGCAGCAATGGGCAATGCGCAAAACCTGTGTGAATGTAAAAAAAAAAAAAAAAAAAAAAAAAAACACCACGCCAACCAACACCAATAACAACAACGGGCCTACCAGCTCAGTCCGTACAGTGTCACCCTTGAGCTGCTGCTGAAGTACAGACCCCTCAGTTCGTATCCCTATCAACTGATTAAATAATGAAAACAAAACTCTGGATTTACCCAGGGCCCGTCAGTTTCAAGATGATATCTCAAGGGGCCGTCGCTCTTTTTTTTGGGGGGGGAGGGGGGAAGAGGAGGGGGCTGGGGGGGAGCAAAAAAAAAGGAAAAAAAATCATGCCCTCTGGGCCGTCGGCCTTGGGCGAGGTCCCACTAGCAAAGAGGATTGGATTGAACGCCTTGATTTGGCCGCGTTTGTGGACAAGTGCAGAAAATCGAGATTGAACTCCTTTTCTGCATCTCTGCCTAAAACACGTCCAGATTCAGTCAGGATCTTAATCCAATCCCCGTTGCTAGTGGGACCATGCTCCTGGCGGCGGGCGCGACGCCCTCCTCTTTCTTTTCTGTTTTTTGTTGACGCCCTCTTCTTCGTGGACTGGAAGGTATGGGCCTCGCTCCGCTCCACTACTCTCTATACATGCAGAAAAGACAAAAGACAAACGACAAAAAGATATGGCCATGTATCTTTCCATGTTCTGGCGGAGGATTCATTCTCATTTTGCACATTTGGAGAGTAGAGGAGCGAGGTCCTATCTGTGGATCAATCGAAGCTTAGGGGCTCTCCACACTAGAGTAGCTGACGAACGAAAGAGAAGAATATCGAATGCATCTTCACACGGATAGTGGAAAGATGCATTCGCTAGCTACTAAAAATAGAAGCACATGCATCTTGCTACCTTCTGTGTGCAGATGCATGCGACATTCTTCTCGTTTCGTGAGTGTGTGGCGAGGCCTACTACTGCTTTGCTACCGTCTTGCCCCGAACATAACGCACCCTGATTCTGAATGTATACAAGCCATCTTTCCGGTTGGATCCAGTCATAATGAGGGTGCGTTGTGTTCGGGGGAAGACGGTAGTGCTGGGGGTCGCTCCACTACTTAGCAAATGTGGAAAATGAGAATGAATCTTTCGCTCGAATATGGAAAGATACACAGCCATTTTTTTATTTTTTTTTGTTTTCCCCTGTCATCATGTAGAGCGCGGTGTCCTCTGCCCACTACATTCTCCAAACCGTTACTAAAATTAAAAAAAAGAAAAAGAAAAAGAAAAAGAAAAAGAAAAAGAAAAAAAGAGCTCGCCCACGATCCCTCTCCACTCCACTAGCACCATCGGTGGCCATTGATTGCAAAGTGGAACGACCGCGAAGTTTTTTTTTTTTTTTTTTTTTTTGGGTCGAGAACGACGAGGACAGCATTACAAAAAAAAAAAAAAGGTTAACACAGGATCACGAAAGTAAAAACAGAAAAAAAAAAGTGAATAGAGAATCTAGATACCTGGGAATTAGGCCCTGAGATTGGTGAGGAATCGATACGGGCAAGAGGCCTCTCGCCCCACAGGGAGCATCCGACGTGTATCTGTACTGTATCACGAGGCGTAGTGGATCGAGGCCGAAGACCTGCACTGCACTGTCAGTGGAAGAGGCGGATTATCAAAATTAACAAGTAAATGCGGAAATCAGAGATGGGTAATTTTGGCCGTTGATCCTTTTTTTCTTTTTTTCTTTCTCTCGTTTTTAGATGAGGAAATTCAAGAAGGAAATCAGAGATGGATAATTTTGGTATTTTTCTTTTTGATCCTCGTTTTTTTTTATCTACGGTCATTTTCCAGATGGGTAGTGCTTGGGGTCGCTCCACTACGTAGCAAACGGGACCGTGTCCCTGGGCCCTGGTGCAGTCCCTACGCACAGCGTAGCAATGTCAGAGTCACCAAAAAAAAAAAAAAAAAAAAAAAAAACAGTCAGAAAAAGTCAGAGACCAGCGAGCTTAGCTCAGTTGGCACACCCATAAACTGTTGAAATACAGGGCCTCGCTGCACTACTCTCGAAATGTGCAAAACGAGAGTGAATCTTCAGCTAGAATATGGAAAGATGCACGGCCATGATTTTTGTCTTTTATGCATGTCGAGAGCAGTGCAGCGAGCACCACAGACCTGTGTTCGAATCCAGATGATGGCATTTGAGCCGTAACACCAGCTATATCTGAATTGCCTGGGGCCCGTCAGCTCAATGATGATATCTCAAGGCCGACGCCCTTCAAAAAGTAAAAATAAAAGTAAATAAGTAAATAAATAAATATATAAACTGTCGAAATGCAGACCTTTTTCTAAAATAAATAAATAATTAATAATAATAATAATAATAATAATAATAATAATAATAATAATAATAAATATTAAAAATAAAGGGATTTTTTTTTTTTTGAAATGCAGACCTAAGTTCTTTTTATTTAGAGTTCGAATCCAGATGGGACCAGATGATGAACGAATTTATTGAATTACCCAGGGTCGTGTCAGCTTCACAATGATATGTCCAGGCTGTCGCCCTTTGTAAAAAAACAAAAAAAAAAAAACAACAGAAAAAGTCAGTTAATGTCAGAGAAACATGCACGCTGCGATGTTGTAGCCGTTGCCGAGATGTCAGCAGGTTGAATGGGGAACAGCAAAAAAAAAAAAAAAAAAAAA